AAACAGCACATCTATTTCAAGTACTAAAATTACATAAGAAGAGAATTAGAGAATACTAGTTAACGTACTGTTCATCATGATCTTAAGCAAATGGCCAAACTGTTCTTGTGTGGTGTACCATTAACAATGTGAAGACCTTGGGTTTCTGCAGTATATGCTGCTTCTTTTAAATATGTTTCACGATCCTGGAAGAACTAAATATTGGACCTTCTTGTGCCTATGGCGTTATGCCACACAGCAGGGACTGTTCTTTACAATGTACCCATCTAGCGTGCTACGTAAATAACCAACATTAGAAATATTTGAAATAAAATCCGTATGTGTAACTTGGTTGAGGAAAGAAGTCCTGATGCAGGCCTCTCCAGTGAGGCCATGGGGCACTATGTGTACCCCTAGCTGGTCTTCAGGTCTGCACCCACCTGCTACCAAGGCCATTGAGCTTCCCATTCATGGGTAGACCCGAGTGAGTAACAATTTCATGACAACATCTGCTGGGAGCTGACCCTTACACATGAGATATTCTTCTGAGCATGTGACCAACGCAGCTGCGGTGGTCACACTCCGGGAAGGCCTTGCAGCACCACTTCCATAGGTTTGTCAGGCTGATTTAGAGCTAACATTGATGGTATATGACTAGTGGATGTGTGGGGTAGGAATCGGTAGACTTTATTCTTGTGATGATGAAAGTTTAACTGTGTTGTGGAAACAACAGTCCCACTTCACTTTAAATCTTCATATTGTTGGTGGTTTGCAAAGGCATGTCTTTTTTTTAAATTCACTGGAGAATTTCTGTTTTCTGTATTCTTACTGGAAGACTTCATTCCTTGGATACTATTGGTATAGTTTGAACACATGCATTTGAAAATGTTTCATTGACCTTTGCAGTCCTTAAAATATTCAGAAGTATTCCATTCTAAAGTAGTTAAATTGATGAATATTTCAAATTGTTTATTTCATGATCTCTGTTTATTAGCAGAGTGAATGCCTGAGGTGGAAAAGAGGAGAAAAGATCACTCAAAGGTAAAGATAGTTTTACCTAGAGAGAGGCTTGACAGGAAATCAGGGAGATTTTGGGAGAAGAAAACAGCTACCTACCTGAGAATTCTGGCTTTTATTTACAGTATCAGTGTAAGAGAAAAAGCAGGAGACAATGCAGTTTGGGCCAGGTTCTGTCTCAAGGCTAAGCAGTTTTTCTTGAGGAAATGAAAAG